AACTGTTCGTTAAGTACCTGCCCATTCTATAGATGCTGAATGTGTTTCGTAAACTATCTGAAAACACTATTGAAGCTTTAGTGTCAATCCCTGAAATGTTTAAAGTATTAAAATACTTCAATATAATATTTTATCTTGCTGTTTATTTTACAAACAGTTTTCAATGCAAGTCAAATTATTTGGGCTTTCGGTGTATTTGTGTAAGCTTGATTTTAGACTTCCACTGTTTGACTTTAACTTCCCCTTTTCGTAATGTTCATCTTTCAGCTCCCATGCCTTCTTCACAAAGCAAAACTTCCCTGCATGTTGGAAGATATTCATTCATTCATNCAAATTCCTTGTGTGTCCAATCACACTTGGCCAATAAAGAATTCAATTCAATTCAATTCTACTTGTAGCAGTTATGATGGGGAAGGGCTCTTTCTCTTCTCCCCCCCCCTTGTATTGACTCCTGGTGATTATTCTAGATTAGTCCCCACAATTTTATGACAAGGTTTTTTTAAAGTGGTTTGTTTCTTGTTTCGCTCTTGGAACTCCACAAAAGCTGCAGCTTTTTAAATGTAAACTTTGCCTCTCTACATCTAGCCTTCTTCATCTGGCTCTGATTCTTGTCAAACTTGTTCTGGTCTTGGTCTCAATTCACATTTCTTCCAGCCAGCTACTGCAAAATGGGACTGGGAGATCAGCCAAGAGAGCTGCTCCCCAGCCTATGGTCTCTTTCGTTAGGTTAGCTAGGTTTTGTACCAAAGACATGGCTCAGCATGTCAGAGAAACAGGCTTATTACCTCACCTCCTTCTAGAAGCCTCCAGACGAAACTTTAAAAAAAAAGAAATTAGCCTTGAACCCTATTAGCTATATTTCCCCCTGAATTCAGCAGAGAATGCCCAGTCGTTGGACTCAAATAGGGATTTCAATTCTTAAGAGTAAAACAAAAAAAATCTAGGCTTTTTTATTTATTTTTACATGGCTTTAACCTGATGGGAGGCCTTTCTTCCCCATCCCAAAAACAGGTAGCAGTAATCACAGGATTCTACCTCTGGGCATGGAAGATATTACTTACTTATGGAGTTTGGATTGTACCCACATTAAACGTAGCTATGATTGCTCCCCTTGCTTTGATAATAAAGGGCAATCATTTATGCTCACATTGCTGTCAGATGTTGATCATAAATGAAGATAAACATAATAAGCAGTGCAACCAAATTGGTTAGAATAATGAATAATTTGGACTGGGCAACGTCTCTCAGAAATCTAGAACTTTAGGCCTGGGGAGGCCTATTGCGTGCCATTTTTAAATAAGTTCTATTGGTTTCAGGTAGTTCTCAACTTACGACCACAATTGAGCCCAACATTTCTGTTGTTAAGTGAGACCATTTACAACCTTTCTCGCCACAGTTGTTATGTGAATCATTGCAGTTGTTAAGTTAGTAACACGGTTGTTAAGGGAATCTGGCTTCCCCATTGACTTTGCTTGTTAGAAGGTCCCAAAACGGGGCATTGCAACCGTCATATATATGAACCATTGGCCAAGCATCACGTGACCATGGGGATGCTGCAATGGTCGTAAGTGTGAAAAACAGTCATAAATCACTTTTTTTCAACGCCATTATAACGTCAAATAGTCGCTTAATGAACTGTTTTAAGCCAAGGACCACCTGTATTTTATAAATGGGTAGTCCTTACGGCTATATTAAATAGAATATAATCTTGTGACTTCTTTAATATGTACCAAAAAAAAAAGAATAATGGGATGAATTTCTTCTGTATAGTCTTGAAGGATTTCCAATGTATCAAACCATGACTGTTTTATAACAGAAAGTTCTTGCAATATTCTCAGATGCACCTCCTCTCATTTCTATTAAAACCCACTGAAAATAAGTGAAACGTTACAAGGAATCAGTGTATCATAAATTGTCAGGAATCTGGAATCATTTCTAAATAAGGAGGATGGGGGTAAATTACAAACATGTTTAAAATGCCTTCAGGAAAGCTGTTAAAACCTGGCTATTCTGGCAGGCCTGGGACTGTTGACCTTATTGTTAAGGTCCAGCCCCGATTAGAACGAATGTGTCTTGTGAATTTTAAACTATCCTTCTCTTGCTTTCTTTTCCTTTCTCTTTCCTTCTTTGTAAGCCGCCCGGAGTCCTTCGGGATTGGGCGGCATATAAATTTAATAAATAATAATAATAATAATAATAAAATAAAATGCATATCTGAAATCAGCCTAAAACTAAGCTTTGCACTGGGATGAAACACTACATTTTCAGGAATGGGGGTTCCCCACCCACGAAACACACGCAGGTAACCCAGCTTGTCCCCCAGAGCAAGTCCTCCCAGCCTGCCTTCAATCTGAAGTCGAGCTACAGGTAGTTGCCGACTTATGATTACAATTGAGCCCACCATTTTTGTTGTTAAGTGAGACGTTTATTAAGCGAGCTTTGCCCCACTTTTTTGACCTTCCCGGCCACAGTTGTAAAGTGAATCACTGCGGTGGATAAGTTAAGTCACCTGGACGTTAATAGAATTCTTTGTTGGCCAAGTGTGATCGGACACCCAAGGAATTTGCCTTTGGTGCAGATGCTCCCAGTGTACCTAAAAGACAAGATACGTTTCGTCACGAATCATAAAGTACAACACTTAATGATAGTCCTAGGGTGCAAATATGCAATTGAATCATATTAGGAAACAATCAATATAAATTGTAAGGATACAAGCAACAAAGTTACAGTACTACAGCCATAAGTGGGAGGAGATGGGTGATAGGAAGGATGAGATTAATAGTAATAGTAATGCTGACTTAGTAAATAGTTTGACAGTGTGGAGGGAATTATTTGTTTAGCAGGGTGATGGCATTGGGGGGGGGGAACTGTCCTTGTGTCTAGTTGTCTTGTTGTGCAGTGCTCTATAGTGTTGTTTTGTGGGTAGAAGTTGAAACAATTTATGTCCGGGGTGTTGAGGGGTTTGTAGATTATTTTCTCAGCCCTTTTTTTGACCTGCGCATAAGCGAATCTGGCTTCCCCACTGGGGTGTCAGACCGACCTTCTGGCAATCTTGGCTTGTCAGGAGGTCGCAAAAAGGGGACCCTGCAACCGTCGTAAAGATGAACCGGCTGCCAAGCATCCGAACTCCCCGATTGTGGGAATTCAGACGCTTGGCAACCGGTTCATCTTTACGACGGTTGCAGGGTCCCCTTTTTGCGACCTCCTGACAAGCCAAGATGGCCGGAAGGTCGGTCTGACACCCCAGTGGGGAAGCCAGATTCACTTATGCGCGAGTCAAAAAGAGGGCTGAGAAAATATCTACAAACCCCTCA